CAGTAGCCATGCTTGGGCCGATGCTGCTTTCACCACTGGTAGCCAAGGGAGACTGTGGCCTATTTTTCGAACATGAGCCTCTGCCTAACCCATGAACGCGGACCTTGTTAACCCAGGCGACGTCTGAGCCAGTATCACACTTTGATCTGGTTACTACCATGATAAATACCTTCACAAAATGTGGGTGTGGTCACTCTTAGCTTCATTTCTCCCCATAGACCTTACTGGCATGGGTGTCCCTACCAGGAGCTTGTGCTCCAGCCTGCATTGCTTTATGGGTTCAGTAAAATTACTGGGCTTTCCCACCACAACCAGGTGGTGACCACGGGAAGGTTATTATTATTATTATTGTTACAATTCTATGCACAGAAAGCTAGAACTTCTGTAAATAGGTATTATAAAACCTACCACTCTCTTTCTAGCATTTTCTTTAATCAAACTAACATTTTCAGCTATATTTAATGGTCTTCCTCAGATTCTATAATATTGGAACGTCAGATATTTGAAATTTGCTTTTGTTCTTATGTCAAAAGTAAAAGTAAATAAAAATTTTTTTTGTAAAAACAATGATGTCATAAGAACGAAAACAAATTTCAAATATCTGACGTTCCAATATTGTAGAACACGAAGGCCATTAAATATAGCTAAAAACATTAGTTCAATTAAAGAAATTGCTAGAAAAAGAGTGAAAGGTTTTATAATACTTATTTAATAATAGTTTGTGAGAAGCTGGGGGCCACAGGTCTATCCCTGATGACCACTTAAATCGGCAACAGTCAGCAAAGACTGCTCATGTTGTCATTTCAGAGGACTTTTTATCAAATGGTGAGTGGTGAACAAGTTGACAGGTGTCCGTGTTTCAGAGCGACAGGAGACAGGGTTTTAACAGACAACAACAAGAATTTATTATATAACTAAACCTATGATTAGATACGGTTAAATGAGGTTACATATACACTCCTATGGAGTGGATTGACAAAAGTTTCTCATCAGCTCGTGTGCTAATCTAATGACCTAGCTCTGTCACTACTTTCGATGAGAGAGTTTACAAGAATCTATAGATTTCTCAATATTTGTTGGTCAAATTAGATGACATTTGTTCGATTGGAGAGAGAGGAATTCGAAGAGGATTGGCAATTGTATGGTGGGTCTTCTTATTGTTGACTTGCATGGGCCGGGACAGTCTGTTCGTGGAGGTCCACTGAACTTGGCAACTAGTTGTCGATTATTCTGGGCACTAATTAATCTATTCACTTTCTTCGGACTAGTATGGGATGACCATCCAGAACTTCGATGTCTCCACCTTTTATGCTTAGTGCCTGGGAAAATGATCTTGTGATTGACTATTGACATGTCAAAGGTTCAGTCAAAAGTGCGAGCATAGGTTTCTTCTGATGATGTTTAATAGCAGCTGTCCCTCTTTCACAATCGAATGTTTTCCTTTTGCCATCTTGTTGTCAAAATTCCTCTGCATTTGTTTAGAGAGAATTTTATCTGATCCGTTCAAGAGTTTTGTTTTTTTATAACAATTATGTTAAGAAATTAAATTACAAAGTTGTAATTTTGCGTGAAATTTGCTCATTCCTCCCCTCAGGCCCATAGATAGGCTCGCAGGCTCACAGGTTACTCAGCACCCTCTCACATTAGACCACCATAAGCCACATTAATCAAACAATGTTAACAAATTAAAAAACTATTGAATAGCAAATTTGATCTCCCTACCTTTGGGCATCTAAATATAATATACATTTTAGAATCTGAAAAAGCCTGTATGTATTTTTTATAGTACAGTAGAGTCCTGAAAACTCGGCACTCGATAACCCGGCAGTCCGGATAACTCGGCCAAACCCTGGCAGGGAGAAAAAACCCCTAGTTACTTTTCATTGTAGATAGATTTATGTTTTATTAAGTATTTTTCTGAGGTCTGTCTTATCAGGTAAATTACTGTACACTGTGTATTCATTAATTTTCATGTAGTAATGGCTCTATGACCTCATAAAGTACATGGTTTTCCTTTAAGGGTATATGGGCAGTTTATTCTCTGTTGTATTCTCAAGCAAACAATACATACAAGTACAGTACAGTATTTTCTGAGGACACCACACTCTTACTTATTCTTTTTTAACCTCATTCCCGATAACCCAACATTTTCACAAACTGCCACCCTTTGGTCCACATTAGGCCGAGTTTTCAGGACTCTACTGTATTTTAAAATAGTAAGTTTTAAAATTTGTGAAAAATACTTGATTAAACTAACTTTTGGATATGTTATTTAATTTAGAAAGCCACAATGAAAATTAAATATAATGGTTATACTGCTGAGATTTATTTTTACTCTAGGCTGCATGGGAACCCAACAAGGTACATAACTGTTCTTTTACATTTATATCTTTTGCAATTCTCATTACAGATTGTATTAACCACAACAAATGTATAATGCTGAAACTCATAACTCCTTATCCTATCTCAAAATAAAGACAATGGACATAAGAGACAGATAGATGAAATGAATGTTAATAGGGGAGAGGTACCTCTAGTCCCAAAATGGTGTATTGTGATGACAGTGTTCACTGGTATCATAAAAATGAGAATTGTAAGACATCAGGTATCCCTCTCTCATTGGAGATAAATACTGCTATTCGGAACAGTTTTGACCTGGATTTCTTCCACTCTCTTCTCATTTGAAAATAACCTCCTTTGTCTTTCTAAATATCAAGAAAAATCATCCCATATTTTCTTATCCACTTGAATATACCCGCTTTCTTCACCCTTCCCCGATTTATTGCTCCTCTAGGCAACATACCATCAAGGACAAAAGAGAAAAGCAGAAAAAGTAAAAATTAAGACAAAAGAGTATATATATATATATATATATATATATATATATAAATAACACACTTGTAGCCCAGGATGCCCCCTTGTAGCAACTAGGNAACACACTTGTAGCCCAGGATGCCCCCTAGTGGGCATTCTTTACAAATTCCCATGAGACACGGTTCCTTTGACTTTTTTGTTCCTATCAATATGCTCTACAGCTCTATTAAAGTCACAATTGCATCATACGGATCTACATTTCTACTTATTAAACATTCTATAAAACTTTAAAATAGTTTAATTTGTTTATTTATCTTTGCTTGTAAACCTCAATTTTAAATGTATCTGCCATTTTTTTCAATAAATTTCCCGTGAGTCAATGTGCAACATTCACTGACTTGTGAGTCATGGGATGTTGTAAACATGCAGTGCAAGGTTAATCAAGGCATATAATAAGGCAAAGCATATAATAATTACTATATGTAAATAAATTCATATCAATAATAAATTCCTATTACAAATAAAAATTTATTGTTAATTTAAAATCATTGCTTGGGTGCACCTAGTGGGTGTTTTAGGCACACTGTTACAGATGAGACACAACAATGGCTTATAAATATATATAGATTTCTAGAATATACCATCAAACAATTAACTATAACTAATCATATTTAAATATAATTCATGGCAGTTGACTGTCATACTGTATAATTTCTAACTTTTAAATTTACATGAACTACATTAAAAATTTTTACTAATTTGTATTAATCTTTTTTCGTATTAAACAGGTGATTAAATATTGCATTGTAATTGAAAAGTCTATTTAAAAATGTTATCTTCAGGGCCAGATTTTATGGGAGGGGATCCTAGAATGTGACCAGGAGAAAAAATAAAACAAATGAAAATGATTCAAGAGATGAAATATAGACTATATTTATAAATCTATATATATATAAATGGACATGTATGTTCCTATATTTCACTTTTCCGCCAAAACTACACATTGCACATGAATGGTGTTTGTATGTGGTAGTAGCCCCAAGTCTCCATTCGTGCACCAGGGTGGTTGCGTCTCGATAGCTATAAGGGTGCGGGAGATATGGGCTTGAAAGTGGCTTTCTATTTTGAATGTTTTGTTCGAATTTAATTCAAACAATGTTCGAATAAAATTCTAATATTGGTTCGATTATAGAATGATTGTAAACGTTCCAGAAACGTTGAAAATAGTTCGTTTGACTGGACGTGAACAGGAGACGTTCAGAAATAGAATCGGGACCAGGTCTCTAATTAGTCTGGAAATGGGGGACCTAATTCTTGCATTCTGTGAAAACGGGTAAGATTGGCAATAATGTAATTATCTTAATCTTCGCTATCGTTACTTTTTAAAAACCCAGCGAAGCGGGTCCTTGCAGCTAGTATTATATAAAATCAAAATAAAGAACACCATAGTAGAATAGGCACAGGCATTAGTTGCTGCAAAGGCCCCAACAAATCTATTCTTGGTTATCTTTAATTTATGATACCATGATCATTATTATTTGATCATATCATATTTTGAGTATCAATCATTTCAGAAATTCCTACATTCTAATAAATCCATTTTAACATTAATTACTGTTTATTTGCATTGCCAACATTAACATACTATTAAATGAAAGCATTTGACATTTTATTACCACCAAATAAAACAGAATATTTCCAAGGGTTAGAAGACAAAAATAATTTGCTACCACACATACACAGAAGAATCGTCTTAATATAATCACTTTTGTACTTGCCTATACTGATAATAATGCACATTGATATGCTGAGGGTAACGAAAAAAGAAAAAGGGTATACTTATCCAAATAAAGTAACAATCCAAATACTGATTACAATAAACAAAGTTTTATAAGTGTATTTTAACTTATTGTTTTGAGACCTGTTAATTTTAATAACATTAAATGACCAATAATAAGATCCATTATTACAATATAGTCTAATGTCCAATATAAAAAAAAAAATAAAAATACAAATTACATACTAGCAAACAACAGTATTTAAAATAATACACTAGTAGTTTAATTTGTATGTATTTTTTATATAGTTTTATATGTATTAGATTATTAAGATAAAAATACTTTATCAATAATTAGTATTTAAAAATTTTTAAATTATAAAAGTTAAGAAGTTAAATTTATAAAAACCTTTTCATCTTCATTTGTTTCTCCCAATTCTTCTTTTGATATGGAATTTGAACTATAAAATTAAACAGAAAAATCAACATTAAAATACACATTATGCTGATTATGTCATTTAATACATTTAAATAAATAATGGTGGTATTTTTTTAATTTTATTTTTTATTCTGTATTCAAAGCAACTACATACAGTGTCTCTCTAAAAGAATCATTGTATTTCAAATGATCATATTTCCAAAACTTATCAACTAAGAATGGTTAGTGATATACCAAAGTAAAAGTAGTATCCAAGATTCTCTAATAACTCATTGATCACACTGCTACTACGGGAGCTTACAAAGAACATTTCTGTATGTTGTTAGTTCCCCTAGAAGTGTATTATACTCTAATATATCAGAATATATTGAGTCTGGGAGTATGTTATTGAAATTAAGGACCGTACAATTCTAATTAGAACAACATGATGACTTTAATAATGAAGGATCAGGGCCAACTAACAGTATAGTTGAGGGAGATTCAAACGTACCGCAGTTAAACAATGCCACGATATAGTCCTAATGACAAATGTTATTTCCAAACTTATTACTAAACAACTAGACTAATTCATGTTAAATTTACATGCAGTTATTTACATGATGACAAACATGTGCTGCCACAACTTTCCTTTGTCCTCCCATTAGATGAACGTTCAAATCTCACCTATCAAACAATAGCTCGTGACTACCCATGAATTCACTTTCTACATGTAGATATATCTAACGTAAATGTATGATATAGTCATATATAATATCAACTTCACTTGGGTCCATTAACTATAAACTGTCCATATATGCACACCACGAGATTGTGAATGATAAGTCCTTAAGGATGAAATCAGATTACAGTATCTCCACTCGATGCATTCAATCCTCAGCTGCCTCTTCTATCTCCTGCTGCCAACCAACATATCTCAAACCATGAAGAAAAAAACAAAACACAAAAAAAAAAAAAAAAAAACAAACAAACAAAAAGGAGTCCTCAACACAAGATGGTCCAATTTATACTCCCTGTCATTCATGAATGCTCTCTTATCACGTGACCCATCTTTGACCAATTAACCCACTCCAATTGATGTAGCAAGGAACAGTGATATGGCATAATAGTCTGCGAACATTGATACAAAAAGTAGATCCCGACATGTGGTAACAGAAAACAATTTATATACACAAATGATATATAAGCATACATAAAACAATAATAATACAGTAGCATAACACTATAGAAGTTAGTACTATGGCTTAAAAAACTTATTAATGATATAGCTTCTTTATTCTCTCTCTCTTCTATTCATTTATCCCTGCCTTCCAGGCACCTGTCTCCCTATGATAACAATCTAAAAAATATCCATTTATTTCTCTCTTCTTTTTAGTATTACTGGATTTCCTCCCAATTGTTCCAGTTTTTGGAACAATGACCAGAGATGGGAAAGCAAGGTGAGATTGAAATAAATGAAGGGATTCAAACCACTTCTTATTTTGACCTTGGAGAGAATAGTTAGGATGAGAAGAGGAAGAACCAAGGATTTGTTTCTTGGTGATTTTGTGGTTTGAACTACTGTACTTATCAAACTAAAGAAATATGCAAAAATGGATTCTTCCCAGTGATTTGGGATACAAGTCTTAACACTTCAGGTAAGAGATATTGAAGGACCTTTTTTCCCTTCATATGTAACATTATGGATAGGAATAAGACAAAAGAAAAGCAATGAGCCACATGGGCTCTAAATGCATCTGACTATTCAACAGTAATGATATTCAATTGGGATTGGATCTTGGTAGATTATTTCTTTTTGTTTCTCTTTCTCATACTCCCTATTAACCTTTCAATTTTGTCTCTAGTTTTATGCTTAAATATAAGATATCATAGAAAATAATTTTGTAATGCTTTATTTTGGGGCTCCTCTTTCCTTATGTATTGTGCAACTGGGAATCTCTGCAATCCATGTAACATGACCAGACCTCAGACATTTTTTTTATGACAATACCGACTAGTGTGAAAGATTTTAAAGTGATTATACTAAAAATAAAACAACCATCAAGAATTGGTATCATTGTACATGTACTATACTTACCATTGCTGTATGATTTATTCTTTCGTGTTAATAAATTCTTTTGTTACTGTATATGGTCTAATAGTGTTATCCTGTTGAAATATTTTGACTGAAAATTCATCACAATCTCACAACACATTTAATTGTGTGGAAGGAATTGAACTACCAATGCATTATGTCTGGTATCACTGACAGTACAATTCACAATGCATGTTGTAAGTTCTTGTAAGTTTGTAGGCATTGGTAGCACAAACATCTTATTAACAAAAATAGTACAGTAAACTTCTCTAACTCAAACATCTGTAATGTGAATATTTCTCTAACTGAAAGAAAACAAAGCACTTGGTAAGTCTCAATGGAATAGCACAAGGATTTAATGTCTCCAACTTGGAGAAAATTTAAGCCGAAGTTTCTCATGGTCCCCTAACACCGATTTATGTTACTTTCAACTACCCAGACTTTTAATATTTATTCTATCCAAAGTGATACTAATTATCAGATTTCCATGAAATTTTTACAGTTGTATCTACTCTCCAACATCAATTTTCAGACAATGTTCAAGTCCAAAGTGTTCTCTCACCATCTCAAGATGTACCTGCAAAACTGTTTGACTCCACTGAACATTCTGCTGAAAGGCATTACATGGGCTGTTTAAAACAAAAAAGAACTATCAAAGATTCTTTATATAATGCAAGAGGTAAATGCACAAATCTATTCAGAATCAGCACTTTTTGCTCTATTATTCTCTAACTTGATTCGTCTAACTCAGTTTTTTCCTGTCTCTTGAAGCTTCAAGTTAGCGAAATTTTAGTGTATTTGCAAGGTGTGAAGTCTGGTGATCTGCACTTTAGCACTACATCCAATCAAACAGTGTGGGAGCACATCATTTAGGGAAATTACAAACATCCACATTCAAATGCCACTAACATGAAACTTGAAAAGTTTATGCTTCCAACAGTGTTTGTCATATGAATGATTACTGAAAATAGCAGTTATTTGAAATTTGATTTTTTCACATACACCCTGTATAATTTTAATTCTTAAATAGAATGTTAGATTATCCCATAAATTATACAAAAAAATATATATTTTTTAATTGTGCCTCATTTAAAGTGCTTGATTATAGTTCACAATATTAATATTATTCACTGTAGTATCAAATTATTATTATTGTTGTGTTTAGTGGGTTATACTTGGTTCACACTGGTGGCTGTGTACTATGCCTGACCAGAGTCAAGGCATAGCAACCAAAATAAAACTAAAATAAGTGTGTCAGTGTCTGTATTCAAAAATTTCCTAACAATATAGCATGTATTCAATATAGTGGCCTTCTGTAGTGTTATATATGTATTTCTATTCAATTGTAATGTTTCCAGGCTTTTGGGTAATGTGTGTGGTATCATCTGTACAAGAGAAAACAACAGGTACAATAAGCATCCTATCCATCCTCCATAGATGCCTTATTTCCTTGGCGAGTTCTGTGTACTTGCTAATTTTTTCCAGTGCACGTGTTTTGTACATTGAGTGTTTGGAATTGCTATGTCTATAATGTATGTGATTTTATTATGTTTGTCAATAAATGTATTGTCTGGTCTGTTGTGGGAAATTGTTTTATCTGTGATTATGGCTCTGTTGTAGTACATTTTGTGCGTGTTGTTTTCCAACACTGTCTGTGGAATGTATTTGTAGCATGGTTCTTGAATGTCTACCAGTTTGTGTTTCTTTGCAAACTCTTGGTGTATTATATTTGCTACTTGATTGTGTCTGTGTAAATAATCTGTGCGCCAAGAGCTTTCAACCAGAAGTGATGTGTTGTATAGTTTCTGGCATGATGTGACATTTTCTGCATGTGTCATTTGTGAGTGTTGTATCTTTGAGTATGTGTTTTCTGTAGTTTTTAGTATTTATGACCT